CTCCCACTTCTCCATCCCTCCATCACCTCCTACACCTCCAGCACTGCTTCTCCAGAATCACCCCCACCTTCCATCACCCCCACCTCTCTATTACTCCCCACCTCTCCATCACCTCCCACACCTCCGTCAATCCTTTCCTTCCATCACCCCCACTCTTCCATCACCCCTTCAACCATCCATCACCCCTACTCCTGCACAACCCCCATGAGCCACTACCCTCCCATCTCTAGAAGTAGATGAGTGTGGGGCAAATGTTGGTATAGAGCAGGACAGGGAGAGTGGACAGAGCCTGTTTGAAATAATAGTCACTGGAGAAAAACAAAACAGTCTCTTTCATGTTTCTTTCTTCCTCAAGTTCACAGTATACATGGAACAACCTGTCTCAGCTCTCTCTCTCTCTATGCCCAAGATGGTCATAAAAACCAAATCAGTCAATAAATACTAACGAGCACCTACTATATGCTAGGAACTAGGGACACAACAGTGGACAGGAAGGAGGAAATAGTTCCTGGCTTCAGTGCCTTACAGGTTAGACCAGCACTGCCCAATAGAAGAATAATGGGAGCCATATGTATAATTTTAAATTTTCTGGTAGCCACATTAAAAAAGTAAAAATTGTTCATTATTAATAATATTTTTACTTAACCCCATACAACCAAAATATTATCATTTCAACATGTAATCAGTATTTAAAAATTACTAATGAGATATTTTACATCCTTTTAATTACATTAAATCTTCAAAATCCAGTGTGTATTTTATTCATGTAGCACATCTCAATTCAGACCAGCTGCATTTCAAGTGCTTAACAACCATGTGGCTAAGAGCATTGTAGTGGACAGCTCAGAGCTAAAAGGAGACAAAAAAAAGCTATGGACAAATAATAGACCATTTACAAATGGGCACAGTTTCTATGCAGGAAACAAATGGGAACTTGGAAGAGAGGCAGAGAGAATGTCTCTGAACAGGTCTGATGCATGAAAAGGAGGCGGCTCTTAGAAAAGAGTGGAGCGAGCGTTTCTGGCAGAAGGAATATTGTGGTAGTTAAGGTTGTGTGTCAACTTGGCTGGGCCGTGGTTTTGAGTGGCTGGGCAGCTAGATGTAGTTATTCTCCATAATGAGATTGGAGCTCTGGTAACATAGTGCCTAAGGCATTTGACTGCTAATCAGAAGGCTGGAGGTTCAAACCCACCAGCCGCTCCTCGGAAGGAAGATGGGGCAATCTACTTCCGTAGTGATACTGCCTCGGAAACCCAAGGAGGGGTCACTGTGAGTCGGGTCCAACTCGAGGGCACATAACAACAACCATGGTGGAATCTGCTGTGAGACTTTAATCAGTGGAAGGGGAGTTGCTTTGGGGGAGTGTAACCTGCTTCCAGTGTATATGAGAAGCCTTGACAATGGTTTTGAGCTTTCTGGCACATCTGGATCCTGCATTTGGCCAGCTCTTCATCTTCAGTTCCTAGACTTGAACCAGGAGCCTGCCGTGTTACCTACCGATTTTGAGAATGTGTCATTTTTACCTGCTGACCTTAAGTTCATCAGCCTCAGCAGCCAGCAGCTGCCTGAGTTAGGAGATGCCTCCAGGTCCAGTGGGCCTGGAACAAGAGGCAGAGCTGAAGCCCAAGGTCAAGGGGCTGTCACCCAGCCCCTAGAGCTGGCACTCTGAATTTTGACTTCTAGCTTCCTAAACTGTGAGAGAATAAATTCCTGTTAAAGCCACCCACTTGTGGTATTTCTGTTATAGCAGCACTGGGGAACTAAGACAGGCAACCTGGGCAAAGGCCCTGAAGGGGGGAAATCTTGGCCTTTGTGAAGAGCCTGTGCGATTGGAGGGGGAAGGAGGCAGCCAAGGGGAGATCTTAGTAAGAGATGAGGCTAAAGGGCTGAAGAGGAAAATGGAGAGCAGAACCACAGACAGCTGTGCTCAGAAGTTTAGGTTTTCCTTGTCTGTATAATGGAAAGCCAATGGAACAATTTAACCAGCGAGGCCATGTCATCTGATTTACATTTTAAGTCAGTCACTTTGGGGAGGCCAGGGAGGAGGCTGCTGTGGCCGAGTAGGAGATGTTAGAAAGAAGGGGAACAGACTTAGCATATATTTTGGCAACACAGCAGCCAGGATGCAGGTAGATTGGATGTGGGGGAAAGAAAGGAATTCTAGGATGACTCCCAGTTTCGCTGCCTGGAAAATCACTCTTGAGCCACAGAAACAAAAGCAGGGTCATTCATCCATTCAACCAATGTTTACTGGGCAGCAAGGTATACATGGAAAATTGCACCGAAGACACTGGCTTGGGTTTCCAAGAACATCCCACCCCATGGACAGCACTAAAGCTAATAAGGGGGACTGAAAAACTAGTCCTTGTGGCTTAAAACAACACTTTCTTTTCTTAGAGTTCTGTAGGTCAGAAGGCTGAAATGAGTCTTGGGGATGTATTACTTTCCTATGGCTGATGTGACAAATTATTGCAAATTTGGTAGCTTAAAATAACACGAATTTGTTCTCTTCCAGTTCCGGAAGTCAGAAGTTGGAATCCTTTTCACTGGCTGAAATCAAGGTGTTGGCAGGGCCGTGTTCCCTCTGGAAGGGTTAGGCGAGAATCTGTTTCCTGCTGATCTCAGTTTCGAGAGCTACATTCTACATTCTATATTGGCTCGTGGCCCCTTCATCTTCAAAGCTAGCAATGCATCTTGCTTCTGTCTCTGTCATCGAATCTCCCTCTGTCTGCTTCTTAGAAGAACACTTGCTGTGATTGCATTTAGGGCTCACCCAGATAATTCAGAATAATCTCCCCATCTCAACATCCTTAATCTAATCATGACTGTCAATTTTGCCATAACACTCACAGGTTCTGGGGATTCGAGTTTGGCCATCTTGGGGACCGTTATTCATCCCACCAGAAGAGGCTGAAGCCAAACTGCTGGTGACGCAGCTTCCTTCTGGAGGTTCCAGGGAGAGAATCTGTTCCTTTTTTCTTTCAGCTTTTCTAGAGGCTGCTCATCAGGAGCTCTGGTAGCTTGGTGCCCAAGGCACTTGACTGCTAACCAGGAGGCTGGTGGTTCAAACCCACCAGCCAGCCACTCCTCGGAAGGAAGGTCGGGCAATCTACTTCCGTAGTGATACCACCTTGGGAACCCAAGGAGGGGTCGCTATGAGTCGGGTCCGACTCAATGGCACCTAACAACAACGACAGCAACAGAGGCTGCTCATAGCTCCTTCCTCCATCTTCAAAGCCAAGTGTGTAGGAACTTCTCCTCCCTCTGACTTCCTGCCTCCATTTTATAAAGACCCTTGTGATTATGAGCCCACCTGGGTAACACAGGAAAATCTTCCCATCTCAAATTCACAACTGCAAAGTTCCTTTCACAAGTAAAGTAACAAAATCACAGGTTCTGGGGATTAGGCCACGGACATCCTGGAGGGGCCATGAGTCAGCCTATCGTACATAATAACATCCTTGCCAGATTTTGGAATCAGGCTTATACCAGATGCAAATAAATGAGTTGGATAGGTTTTCCTCACTTTTCTGTTCTATTCTATTGCACAGAACTATGCTCTTTGACAGGAGCTCTGGTAGCATAGTTCCTAAGGCACTTGACTGCTAATCAGAAGGCTGGTGGTTCAAACCCACTAGCCACTTCTCAGAAGGAAGGTTGGGCAATCTACTTTTGTGGTGATACCGCTTCGGAAACCCAAGGAGGGGGAAATCCAAGGAAGGGTTTCTGAGTCTGATCCGATTGGAGAGCACATAACAACAACAACAGAGCTCTGGGGGAGTAGTGCCTAAGGCACTTGACTGCTAACCAGCAGGCTGGCGGTTCAAACCCACCAGCCACTCCTCGGAAGGAAGATGGGGCAATCTACTTCTGTAGTGATACTGCCTCGGAAACCCAAGGAGGGGTCGCTATGAGTCGGGTCTGACTCCATGGCACATAACAACAACAACATGCTCTTTGAAGATTTGGAAAACTTGTCTAAAATGTCATCTGACCTGTTGTCATTTTTAGAGAAAAGTTTTGGAGTAGTGAGGAAGACTCTGAGGCTCTGTCCAGATCTTCCTTTAGGATTGAAGGATTTATTACCCCAGCTGTTGAGAGGGCACTAGAAGACAGATTTAAGCTGTCAGCCCTCTTCAAGAATGGCCTTTGCTGAAGGGAGCCGTGTCACCTAAGGTTGTGTCCCCTCCGTAGAGGCAGCTGGGCCCAGTGGGGGAAATAAAGGGCCAGCCCAGCTTAGAATCCTGAATGGGGTCTGCTACAGCCTTTGCTGAGACTGCATTCCGGCCCAAGGTCTGCTCAGTCTTGCTCCTTTCCTCCTCTTCCATAGGCAATGTTCTTAAAACCGTTCCGTATTAAGCTTCCTGCACTCTAATCTCCATCTCAAAGTTTGCTTTTCAGGAAACTTCACTTGTAATAATTAGTATTTCCATTTATTAAATGATATTAGTCTACTCGTTTTCTACCAAATTAGGTCAGATTCACCTGGTAGGTAATGTAATTGCTTCTTGTGAGTTTGTTTCATAGTTTGTACCCATACATTTGGCTAACCACTTAATGTGTCTGATGTGTTCATTCATTAACATTATTGACCATCTGCCAAGTGTTAGGAACTTTGCTAAGCTCTGGGGAGGTGGCGGAAGGTAAAAGCAAACTTGATCTTGGCCTTCTTGGTGCTTATGGAAGGGGACACTGAGGTCTTAAAACCTCCTTAGAGGAGGGAGTGGTCAGAGAAGATGACCTCTGAGATGAAACGCAAAAAGATGTGGGCAGAGGGGGTGAAAAGAGCCAACAGCAAAGGGAACATCAAGGTTTTAACAGACCTTGCTGTGTGTGGGTGAGGGGGGGGGGTGTCGTGAGAGGATAAGGGTCAAACCAGTAGCTGAAGGAAGGTCAGAGACCAGAACGGGGAGAGCAGGGGGCAAATAGTAAGAGAGATGAGGTTGGCAAAGTCCTCAGGTACAGACCAGGCAGGGCCTTGATGGTGAGGTTAAGGAATTCCATCCTTATCTTAATAGTGATCAGGAGCCATGGAAGGTTATATGTAAAGGAGAGACATGACTGGATTTGGGTTTTAAAGAGCTGCACTGGCTGGAGTAAGGAGCTGTGGTGGGGTAGTGGGTAAGGCATTTGGCCAGTAACCAGAAGGTTGATGGTTCAAACCCATGGGCTGCTCCACAGGAGGAAGATGGGGCAATCTATTTCCATAAAGATTTACAGCCTTGGAAACTCAATGGAGCTGCTGTGAGTCGGAATCGACTCGATGGCAGTGAGTTTGGTTTTTTGGTTTATAGCTTTGCTGGAGGAGCTCTGGTGGCATAGTGCCTAAAGCATATGACTGCTATCCAGAAGGCTGGCAGTTCAAACCCATCAGCTACTCCTCAGAGGGAAGGTTGAGCAATCTACTGCCATAGTAATACTGCCTTAAATACCCAAGGAGGGATCGCTATGAGTCTCAACGGCAGTGAGTTTGGTTTCTTTTTTAGTGGCTGCAGTGCAAAGAATGGATTGGAATAGATAGGGTGGGTACTAGTAGACTGGTCAGAAGACTGCTGCAGGCGTTCAGGTGAGTCCAGGAATAGAGTTGTTGCTTCAGAATTAGTGAGTGTCTGAGAGGGATCATAATAGGAGGTCCGGGATATAGTGGGAGAAAAATGTGGAACAAAAAAGCATAAAAAAGACCAGGTTAAACAACTAGTCCTAGCAACTGGTACACCATCCAATCTGCAGCCTATATGACTATGAGACCAGAAGAACTAGATGGTGCCTGGCTACTACTGTCAACCACTTGGAAGGGGATCTATGTAGGAGATCCTGGATAGAGAGGGAGAACAATGTGGGATAAAACTCAAAATCATTTGGAGAAAAAAAAAAGGGAGGACCAGGTTTGCTGGTCTGATAGAGCCTGGTGGAACCAGTGAGACTATGGCCCCTAGCTGCTCTTCAGGTCTGGAGTTGAACCCACGCCTGTGGCTTCCAGCCAAACAATAGACAGGCATATGAGTTGAACATTTACCTGAGGTAGATACACTCCTTGGAGAGAACAATCATGGGAGAAAGAAGGGCTGTGTATGCACAGGAAGACAGCTGAGGGGGCAGGAGGGCATGGAGGGATGGACACAGGGAAGAGGTAACTGTCAGGAGGAAGTGGGAGGGGAGCTGTTGCATTGTGGTAAATTGTGGTCAATGTCATGAGAAAAAGTGTATGTGAACTGCTGTATGGAAAGTGAATTTGCTCTGTAAATTTTCACCCAAATCACAATTAAAAAAAAAAAAAAAGAGAGAGAGACCAGGTTTACTGGTTTGATCAAGACTGGGGGAACCCTGGAGACTACAACCCTTAGACAACTTTCAAAGTGGGAACTGAACTCAATCCGTGGCTCAACTTTCAGCCAAATGATAGACAGGCCTATAAGATGAATAATATCAGGAAGGTATGCACTCATTAGAACAATCAACATTTTGCCTTCAAACGTGCTGCATTTGCCCAGGGATAAAGCTTAGAAGGAAGGAAGAGATAGGAGAGAAGGAAGAACGGAAATGGTAAACCCAGGGAGGAAGTGGGAAGAGTGCTATTACACTGTGGGGATTACAATGAATGTCACAAAACAAAATGGGTATGAATTGGTGAAAGGAAAACCAATTTGCCCTGTAAACTTTCACCCAAATCACACCCAAACCCACCTACACACACCCACACACACCAACTTAGTTTTAAGAAAGAATTAATGACTGAGGGAGAGAAGAAGTGACTGGCCACCTGACAGACTAGTCAATTAACCGGATGACTTAGCGAGGGACTGAGAAGGAAACTTAATACCATTACATTACCAAAATCTGACAACTTTTCAGACACAGCGCTCTGAGGTCAAGCGAGGAGCAGCTGGAAGTTGCTGTGGGCTGTGTCTGCAGCTGGGGAGATCACTGGCCGTTAGCGGTTGTACCCGAGGGTCGCGGAGTGGTGGGCTCAAGAAAATTGAAGGGGTCGAGAAGGCAAGGCGCCAGGATACACAAGAGCCGCCAGCTACACGGGGCGGCAACCTACGCACTTAGCTTGTGGGCGTGCCCTCGGCCCATCCAATCAGGGCGGCGGATCTGCCCCTCACCCCTTTGTTGCCTTGGGAACGGGACGCAAAGGCTATTGCACACGGCGCAGTGGCGGTTTCGATTTGGCCCTGGCACAGGTCTTGTTATGTCGCGACCGAAGGTAGGAATGACACCTGATCCAGATGCTTTCGTCGCCTCTAGAGTTGGGGGTGGGGTGGGAAGCCGCTGAGAAAGTCTGAAATTGGGGGCCCTCGTGGAGGGATTCGGGTTGAGGAAGAAGAAAACGATGGATACAGAGGAAAAACTACAATTCCGGCATGCCGCGCGCCGTAGGCGCCGCTGAGTTTGTTCAGTGAGTGGGGCCGCTGGCGGGGTATTTATACAATTCCAGAATTGTAAACTGGACTAGGCAATTCCCGTAACCCCAGGGTAAACCCAGAATTTCTGGTTTCCTTTAGAAATCAGTCCTTAGCTATTTGTTCATCCTGTCACCATCTAACCTATCCATGCAAAAATACTGGTGCCCTTCCCAAGCCTAGCCCAGTGCGGGACACAGTGGGGACACAGAGGTGAATTCTGCCTTTTAGGAATTCACAGGCTGACTCCTACACTTTCAGAGTGTGGAAAATGAGATCCAAAGAAGGAAAATGAATTGGAATCCAGATCGCCCACTCCAAACTGCTTCTTACCCTTGTTCCACTTCTCCTGAATGGCCTGTTTCTTTATATCCCACTGCCAAGGAAAAAGGAATTCATCTGCTCTCAGAGTGCTCTGAACTTCGCCTTTGTACCGTGATTTATTAGTCGTGTGTTATTTGTTTAGCATCTGTC